AGCGTTTGGTGAATACCATGATTCTCAGAAGAATGACGAAGGATGGCATAATGATTGCCTGCCTACTACCCAGAAATCATCATTAATAATTTCCTAGTGGGTACTCAGCAAGTGTGCTTGTAGCATTTACCCAAAGAGAGCCCATAAAAGGCTCTGAAAGGCCACTGTTCCAGCTTCGCCTGTGACTGTGCTGCGTGTTCTGCGCAGTCCGGGTGTTTTTATTTTCCTTCAATACCGCGAATCGACCCTTTCTGCGTTCTGTGCTGCGGATCTAGGGAAGTGTTTGTGGACGCGTCAAGTCCACCACCTGCTGCATGGAGAGAGAGAGAGAGATTGACTTTATTTAAACATATTCTGAGGAGGCTGAGAAAGGGCCATTCCGACCCTTAATTCAACCTGGAGGCTCCGCCCAGGATGGCGCTGGCAGCCGAAGGCTTGTAGCGATTTTCCGGGCGCTCTGGACCGCCTGTAGTTGCAGCTTGTATTGATTGCTCTTGAGGGCTTATATACTGCTGCATGGAAGGCAACTAAAAAGCGTAGTCGCTTCAGCTCGTCACTACAGTGAGTGTCGGACACTTGCCATCCCCTCAATGGCATATTTCACGCATCTTCCGCAGTAACTTCACCCATCACAAGCAAAATGATCACCTATCTTGGCGATTTTTTTTCGCATATTTCTTGGCGTGCACAGAATGTGCGTGTGAGGGACATTTACAACACCTGGTGTTACTTCAGTACCTGTCCGAGTAGATATGAGCAACACTGCGCTTCACTTTGTCTAAGCTGGCAAATTCGATGTTTGAGGCCTACAGGGTTATCATAAATAAAGGAACAACTTGAGTGTCGTTTCATTTATTTATGTATTTATTTAAATAATTAATTCGCTATGCTTGGGGCGAATTAGCATTTTGAAGGGGAGTTGTTATAGGCACAAAAGACGCGGTCATCCCTGTTTACACAATATTAGCCTAGAAGGAAATTGCACAGTATTTATACAGTCATATTACAGTACAACACACAAATCAAATCAATAATGATGCTATGCAAAGAACTTGGGTCACGAAAAAATGAAAAGACATGAGTAACACAGTAAATCAGTGGAAGGTGGAATAACGTCATATGAAATGTAAAATGAAGCATGGCAATTACACTGTGTTCACTAAGAAGGCAAAAGGAGAGAGATAGAAAGACATGCAGAGACGTTAACCAGTGTGATTCTTCATTGTTTGGGGGGGGGAAGGGTTGATTACCGAAACGACCATATTATTGTGAGAGACGCTATATAGGAGAACTCCGGAGTTTTCGACCACTTGGGGCTCTTTATCGTGCTTTCAAATGGGAGCACACGGGTTCACGTCATTTCCACCTCCATCGAAAACGCAGGTGCCGTAGCAGGCATTCTATCCTGCGACCTGCGGGTCAGCAGCTGAGTACCTTAGCGACCGCGGTGGGGTGACCAGTTTGAAACAACCGATTTTCTATCCTGTGCAGGGGGGAAGAAAATCTGAATCCGGAAGACAGTTATGACGTCACTGTTAGAGCACGCAGGAGCGTCTCGCAGTCTAATTTAAGCCGTTAGTGCCGGAAGGCGATTTAACTCGATGTATGTGGTATGAATGCGTCAAAAATGGTTCAGTTCTACATCACGAAATTGTGACTTCACAAATACGGCATTGGATACGTATTGCAAAAAAAAATGATGAGACTTTCACACGGCGCGTATGATAGTACAGCGTATAAAAATTTACAAAAGAATGTATGTAATGTTACAATATAACGTTTTAGGATTACAATTCAATACTGTAAGAGTATGTGCGCTTAAACTGAATTCATTTGAACATGCGGTGTTCATCAAAATGACACGGTTTGAAATGATGCATGCGTTTGACTCGTAGACTGCAGAGGTATATCTTTATTTAAGTCATTCTTCAAGACTGTGAAAATGGTTCTTGACAACACGCTTTCAGTTTTGATAAATGATTCTGTAAAGCGCTAGCTTATTTTTTTACATGCCTAAGTGTTTTGGCAGGGACTGCTCTGCGTAGCTTAGTCTTTTAAAGAATAGAGTTTCTCAAGTGTGTACCTACACTGCATGGTATACATAACCTACAATTCAACGTGAACAAATGCGAAATTGACCGTGGAGCTTGATGTGAAATTGATAGCAGAGTACTTCACAAGACACAACATAAAATGAAGATACACCTTATCGTATTTGCTGACACGTTTGCCTCGGTGTATCTGTGGATACAGTGCTCGACTGCTGACACGAAGCTCTCGGTTCCAATCTTGGCAGCGGCGATCACATCTCGATGGAGGCGAGAAGTAAAGATATATGTATTGGGCAATGACTGTGCAGGTTAAAGAACACCAGATAGTCAAATTTTGTGGAGCCTTCCAGTACGGCGTCCCTTATATTCCAGTATTACTTTTACCCCCGCCGCCGTGGTCGAGTGGCTAAGGTACTCGGCTGCTGACCCGCAAGTCGCGGGATCGAATCCCGGCTGTGGCGGCTGCGTGCTCAAATTTAGGGGCACGTTAAAGAACCCCAGGTGGTCGAAATTTCGGAGCCCCCCACAAGGGCGTCTCTCATAATTATATGGTGGTTTTGGGACGTTAAACCCGACATATCAATCAATAATCTATTACCGAGTGAACACAAAAAACTGCAAAAGCAAGAGGTGCACTGAAGCTTGAAATTCCTTATTTTACTTGTGCTATTCGTTAATATTCACAGCATTTTCTTTCATCGGTCTGCAACTTCCTTACCTTAGCGACATAATATACGTTAGTGCGTTTCTGCTCGAGGAAGTCTACGCAATGCCTGTTACCGTTGATGCCGTTGGAGTGCAAAATTTAATTCACAAGCTTAAGTTATCCTCTTCTTGTGGCGTAGATGAAATCAACTCAAAGTTTCTAAAAAACACTGCATTGTATTCATCAATTTACTTGTCCTTAATCTTTTCGCAATCTATTCAGACCTCCACTTTGCCGCTTGACTGGAAGGTGGGGAAGGTGGTCCCTCTGCACAAATCTGGTAACACACAGTCTCCTCTCAATTACAGACCAATTTCCCTAACCAGTGTTCCTTGTAAAATGTTAGAACATATAATTTACTCCAACCTTGTCTCATTCCTAGAATCAAATTCTTTTTTTACTCCCTACCAGCACGGATTCCGAAAAAGTTACTCATGTGAAACCCAACTTCTTTATTTTACTAATGACATAGGATCGGCTTTAGATCGCGGCTCACTTGTGCATTGCATTTTTCTTGACTTTCAAAAAGCTTTCGATAAAGTACCTCACCAATTACTCCTCCTGAAAATTAGTGCCTTAAACATTGACCCGAACATTCTTAAATGGATTGAATGCTTTCTGACTAATCGCACTCAGTTTGTAACAACTAATGGCTATAACTCACCTCTTTCTAAAGTAACATCCGGCGTACCCCAAGGTTCCGTATTAGGCCCTTTACTCTTTCTTATATATATTAATGATCTCCCAGACAGCATTAACTCCGCTATAAGGTTATTTGCAGATGATTGTGTAATTTACCGCGAAATAAACAATGAATATGATAACCAATTTCTACAGTCAGACCTTGACACTGTCTCAACCTGGTGCAATAAATAGCTTATGACTCTCAACTCTAACAAATCTAAATGCATGTCAATAACCCGGCGATCTATTTCTCCCCCCTGTACCTACAGAATTAACGCCGTTCCCCTCCAGCATGTCTCTTCATATAAGTACCTCGGCGTTTACATTACCAACAATCTATCTTGGCACACGCATGTTACCTACATCTGTAATAACGCTAACCGAACGCTAGGATACTTACGCCGCAACTTTTCTCGCGCTCCGCTGTCCCTCAAAATTCTATTATACCGATCACTAATTCGCCCAAAGCTTGAGTACGCGTCCGCTATATGGGATCCCGTGCAGCAAAATTTAATTAACGCGTTAGAATCTGTTCAGAACCGCTCAGTTCGGTTCATTTGTTCTAATTATTCCCGTACTGCTAGCATATCAGAAATGAAATCTAACCTTGACCTACCCAATTTAACTGTCCGGAGGAAACTGGCGCGACTGCATTTTTTTCATAAGATATTTTTTCACAATCCATCAATGAAGCGAGACCTCATTTCACAACCGTCATACCACTCATCGCGCATTGATCATCAGCATAAGGTTGCCATTCCGTTTTGCCGCACCAAATTCTTTTCAGCAGCCTTCTTACCGAAAACAGCCGCCGATTGGAACCACCTTCCCTCTTCCGTTGTATCAATAACAGACCCTTTGTTATTCAAGACTGCAATTTCTCAGCAATGCTTGTAACTATACGCAGTTTCCATTATCTATCTTTGTCTTGTATGTGCTTGAATTCTTATACATTTTTAGTTGACTTATGTTGCCTTCCAGATTTGCGCATCTGATACTTGTTTCTTTATTTTGTCTTTTTTTCTTGTGTGTTATATATGTTGTACCCACCCCCTCTGTAATGCCCTACGGGCCCTGAGGGTATTCTAATAAATAAATAAATAAATAAATCCAGTCTTACTTTTGGGATGCAAAACCCTACATGTTAAAATTTATAAGCATTGCGTAGACTTCCTCGAGCAGAAACGCACTAATGTATATTATGTCGCTAAGGTAAGGAAGTTGCAGACCGATGAAAGAAAATGCTGTGAATATTAACGAATAGCACAAGTAAAATAAGGAATTTCAAGCTTCAGTGCACCTCTTGCTTTTGCAGTTTTTTGTGTTCACTAACCTTACAGATGGCATCGGTGTTGATTCCGTTGGATTCTCAAGCATAAATCTGAGGTGCCTTCAACCAACACATACAAATGCTTCAACATCAATCATCGCACTCACCCAAATTCGATGTGTCTTGTGAAGCTAACACGTGAACTTCATTTGTAATCTGCTCTAAATCCGAGTTGAAAGTGCGGAACTGTGTTGAGTGAGAGGAATTTTACCCAACAAGAATCACTCACAAAGTAATCGGCGATGCTGCGATAGAATGTGCCCAGGTCATAATCCAGGAACTGGTCTATCAGTGCTCTCTTACGGACGTCCTTAGGGTAGAGTGAGTGGTCAGGCGCATACATGTCAACCAGGTAGCGCATGATTGCACGGCTGCAAAAGATTCCATACGATCACGCCACTTGATGAAAACACACGGCAGGTAAAATTTATGTATGTAATAGCCGTGAATAGAAGACTCTGTAATGAATTGTGAGATTTTCTCGAAATATTTTGGGGAAAGCCGTTCTTCATTTGCTCAGTTTGCATCATTATCTGCTGTCTGGATGTTTTGTTTTTCTAATGTCAAGCGGTACACATTGCTGGCGTGTTCAGGAAGTCTTTGATTTTTGTTTGGTGTCTTATTTAAATCCCAAAACAACGACAAATGCCTGCTGATGGTTTAAAATATATTCTACATGTAAGGGTTTTTGCAGAAGGTTAAGAAAGTGTACACTCCTGCTGCTATATTTTGCTTGACTCGCGTTCGTGTTCCAACTTCTGCTAATTCTCTCCTTTCCGTCATTGTGTGTTCATTTTTACATTTAAAGACGTGTGCGTGACGCACAATATTTTTTGCAGTGATGCAGTTTTCCAGTTTATTGCAGTGAAGATTCACAAGAATGTACTGATAAGATACCGGTACCTTTTCACGTAGTGCAGATTTTTCAGGTCATTTAAATTTTTTACGACACTTTGCCGGAGAGCGTGGATCGTCTATATTGTTTATTCAGATGCCTTCGTAAATCCACGCTTTTTCTTACATGATGTTTCAACTTTCCCAGAACATTTCTATGCATCTAGTTTTTCGGTTATTGAACATGAAGTCTTTGGCAAAGCTTATCGCTCGGCCGAAGGTGTCACATACACAATTGCAAGATTCAGTGAACACGTAAGTGGGACCTTCGTGAAAGTTTGTGCGTGTTTCATGTTGCATGCAAGGACGACATTGGCGGTGTGGATTAGGTATACGCGTGTGCCTACACCCAGCGCACGTGCCCAGTTCAAACAAACTGTCTCACCTAAATTACCAAGACAACCACAGTAGCAGAAGCATATCGATATTTTGCAGCAACATTCGCAGCATGCAAAAAACTTTAATCAGCTCGTCGCATATATTTCCCAGCAACTACAACGCTTTGACGTAATTGTTGTCAATGAAACTTGGCTAAAAAGAAATCAAAACATTGTTATTCCTTATTACACAATGCTATTTCAGTCTCGTGATTCTCGTTCTCAAGGAGGAGGTATTGCTCTTTTTGTTAAAAATAAGCATTTCGTATACAATCCTTCCTTCACTATCGTGCAGTACACGTGACATCGAGTCACTATTCGTCAGGGTGAAATCCTCACTTGCAGTGGGCGTAGTTTTTCATCCCCCTAATGCGTCTTCTTCCTGCTTTCTTGAAACACTTGAAATTATTCTGTGTCACCTAAGAAACAACGTCAAACAATCTAGTGTTAATGATGGTGTTATGAACATTCATACCCGTAGCTCAGTCCATGACGACCACTCGTACTTACTAAAATCATATCGCTTTCGCAATCTCATCACCATACCAACTCGAATAACGGCAACGTCTGCTTCAGTGATTGACCACGTGCTGACGAATTTCGTGAAAGATATTATTAGTGGAGTGTATGCAAGCCTATCACAGATCATTCTCCCATATTTTTCTGTGTTGGTCGCATCTAGAGTAAAAAAAACGTGGTGGGCTGAAGTATGTAACCAAAATAGACTACGTAGCTTTAAGAAATATTTTTCTTGAATCTAGTTTTGGTCAAAGGTACAATGATGGCGTTCATACTAAATTTGATAACATTTTTTCTTCTCGAAAACGCGATTAAAATAAGCAGCATAAAAGTTTCGCTTCATTCACGGGAAACAACGTTATGTCTCTGGACCAATAAAGAAATCTTGGAGGTCATAAGGCGCAAGCATTACTGGCACGACAAATGGAAACGACAGAAGCACAACGAATTCTTTTTGCGTCATTTTGAAATAATGCGTAATACAACAGTGACATTGATGAGAATTAGTGAAAAGAGTTATTATGCCCGACAAATAGAACAGGTGATTGGTAATTAAAAAAAACTTTGTCAAGGTGTAATTGGCTTTCTCAACCACCCTCCGCCTTCTAAGGTACTTCTTGATGTTATCGACTCCAATACAGTTGAATCGTACAGTTGAACCCTTACTTTGCCTCCATTATTTCAACACTAGATAAGCCTTGAGGTAATCAGATCTATTGTGTCGGATATGCCAATGAGCAAATTGGCAGGCCTAGATGGGATAGCCGTAAAGCTTCTTAAGAAAATTTAGACGTCCTCGGACCAGTTTTGTGTCGCTTTTTTAACCATTCTGTGAGAGCAGCCATTTACCCTTTTTGTTTAAAAATTACAAAGGTTATTCTAACATTTAAAAGTGGTGATTATTCTTAACCGCCAAACTATCTGACCTCTGTTTTGAGCATAATTAATGATATATTAAAAAAATTCTTGCCAATCGTTTCTATAAACTTATTGCGAAATATAACATACTATCATATCAGCAACATTGATTGAGACTAAACAATTCTACGTCCACTGCTGTTTTGACACTTACGCAATTAAAAAACATAGCTTTGAATGAAAACAAGTTAGTATAAGTTATCTTTGTAGACCTAAAAAAGCGTTTGACACTGTAGACCACAGAATACTGCTAAATAAATTACCACTCTATCGTTTCTGTGGTACCATTTTAGAACTTTTTTCGCACTATTAGAAAGGTCGTAAACAGGCTGTATTAATAATGATTTCTTGTCTTCTAAGAGTCCTTGAATACTGGTGGTCCCCAGATTCGTTACTGCGACCATTTCTGTTCTCCTTGTATATCAATGACCTTCCGCGGATATTGCAGTTTTCTAACATTCTGATGCACGCTGACGATACTTGTGTCATAGTAACAGGTCAAAACCTAGGTGATCTTGTGTGGAAGTTTAACACCAAATTGGATAAGGTTGCTCATTGGTTATAAAATAGTAAGCTATCTATGAATACCGGTAAGACCAAATGTGTTACATTTCACTCTGGAATAAAATACATTACTGCTAATGATATACACATTAACATTAACGATTCTGTGATCGAGCAAGTAACGGCAATTCAATACCTTGGTGCCACTATAGGTAATAACTTACATTGGCAGATGCAGATTCAGAATGTGTGTTCCAAATTAGCCTCAGCATGCCATGCACTTACTCAAGCTCGTCAAAAATTTAAAGCACTAGTCTACGAATACTTTATTATGCCTTCATTCATTGTCATAATTCATACTGCATTGAGTCTTGGGGCGGCACGTTTACAACTTACCTGAAACCAGTTAGACGGCTTCAACAACGGGCTGTAAGAATAATTCTTCATTCCAAATATAATGACCCCAGTGAACCTCTGTTTTCCCGATTACGCATTTAGCCATTCGATATGCTATGCAAATCAAAACTAGCCAAATATGTATACATGGTTATTAAATACAACCACACTTTCAATGTGTCGCTGTTCTCTGCTTCTTCCCGTTTTACCAGACAACTAACCTTTGGTAAATGGAATATTCCATGAACAACGTATAGTGTGATTGGATTTTAGAGCTTCCCGGTATTAAGATCTGGAATGCTAAACCTTTTGAAATTAAAGTGTGTTCACAGTTCACATAGACACTAGAAAAACACTATTTAGAGGAATGTTCTGATTTATTATTGACCGGTCATGTTTAGTGAGATTGCTGTCCTAATTTCAATAAATAAGTATAAGTCGTTATTTTTTGTTTCTTTTTGGCTCTGCGTGTGGTTATTTCATGCATTGTTCTTCTTTTCAGATTCTTCATTCACATTATATAACTTCTTACGTTATGCTTTTTGGAAGTCCCCTTACATAATGTATCTTTTCGGACCCAACTTCACTATCCTATGGGTAAGGGCCTACACAGTGTGTGCGAAGTTTTTGTGAAATTGTGAGCAACAAACTTCCAATTCCAAATATTTGGCCGCAGCGATTGAAGCCCGTCATATTTATTCATGCAAACTTCAGCCCTTTCATAAACTACACGACTTTTATTATGGGCACATCTTTTTAACAACGAAGTTAACTTGATACTGGAGTGACGTGGTGCTGAATTAGCGAACAATGTACTGCATACTTCAACTTAAGCGAGCAACACCAATAAAGAGTTAAAGGGGCCCTGCAACACTTTCTGAGAATGGTCGGAAAACGCAGCCGATCGGCAATAGAAGCTCCTGAGAACGCACGAGCCGAATATTTTGGCGCAGCACGTGGCCTTGAATACACAGTAAATGATCAAAGTCAGCTAAAGGTAGCTTTCCGTTTTCTCGACAAATGACGATTGAAGCTCAAAAATTACTCGTAGAAGGCTTTTTATCAGCAACTGGCTGATTTGAGCTTGGCCCACGCGGTCGTTAGAAGAATAACAGCTGAAGACCATGACTTGCCCACGGGTGCGCACAGGGTCACACGAAAAATACCGCGTATTCGACGAAATGAAAAGAAAAAAAAGTGCTCAAAGTCACGAGGTGCACATGACTCATTTTCTTTGTCCATGCCGATTACCTTGTGCTTAGATTCCAACGCTTTTGTTGGGATGACAAGAGAGATTGCAAGAACAGCATGCGAAAAATCTTTGTAACTCCGGCCATACTGGATGAATTCTTGAACTCTTTGTGAAATTCGACTTGCTACGTAATAAGCTCTTTCAGTGAATTCATTTCATTGTTTCTTTAAAAAGTGATTCAGGGTCCCTTTATCGCTCTATATCAGATGTAAAAATAAACACGGCATTGAGTACACGTGATCATATTCCACCGCTGGGAACATGCTCGCTGTTCGCGTTCTGACTTGAAGTGTGGCTTGTTTTTATAGGCAGCGCTTCAACCAACAAAAAAGTTGGATTTCATGTTCGCATGATCGCTAGGGAGACAGTTTCTGAAAACACGACAGCGGAATGCACTACAGAACCCTCTGTGAGCAGTTGGCACGTGTATCAGTCAATTAAGGTCGTTCACTAAGAAAAAAAAGAGACTGTGAACTGAAGCTGATAGTGACTTCATGGCTTAGTAAAGAGATATCATGCTTAACTCACCTTCTTCTTTTTGAAAACTTTGACCTGCCAGACATTGATTGGCGGAGCACCCTACCCTCTTTAGTAAGCCAAACCAAAGCAAAAGATTTTCTGGGCGTTTGCCTCTACTTTAATCTAACACAACTTGTATCAGCACCGACCCGTGTTACCCAAGACACTGCAAACACTTTAGACCTAGTACTGGTGAACTGTCCAGACAGTTTGTCGTCCATTACCTTTCTTAGAGAAATAAGCGACCACAAGGTCATCCATGCTTCTTTTCGCTTTGCTCCAGCTTTGCAGCATAAGCGCGAAAAAACTATACACTTATACGACAAAGGTAATTATGATGCAATATGAGAACATTTACAAATTTTTCTACTTTTCTTCCAAGATACGTTTTGTAATCACACCATTAATGAAAATTGGATGGTATTCAAAGAGAAAACAAACAACTTAGCGAACCGGTACATACCAAAAATTATCTTTCGAACGCATGAACAAAAATCATGGTTCCATAATACGTTCGAAAGACTAGAAAACAAAAAGAAACGCATGTATCGCGCCGCTAAATGCAGGACGGACACGTTTCCATGGGAAAAATACTACGCTGCTGAACGAGCATACCTATCAGGGATTCGCAAGACAAAAGATGCGTTCTTTTGCGATGACCTTCCGAAATTTTTAATCAATAACAAAAAGAAATTCTGGCAGGTGATAAATCCTCACTAAAGGCATAGTGTAACACTTATCAATGAAGAAGGTGAAACATTCGACGATATAGAGTGCCCGAACCTTTTTAAGGCAGCCTTTGTGTCTGTATTTACCGAAGAGTTCACCACGCCCCTTTTTTTTTGCGTACCAATGCAACAAGTCATATGCCGACCATTACATTTTTCCCACATGGCATCTCATCGTTAATCGACAATGTTAAACTCACATCATCAGCCGGCGTGAATAACATTAATTCGAAACTGTTAAAGAATACTAAACATGTCACCGCGGTTTTCCTGTGTTTGCTGTTCTCGCAGTCACTTTCAACTGGTGAAATGCCATATGACTGAAAGGTGGGAAAGGTTGTTCCAATCCACAAAGCAGGTGACAGGAATTGCCCGCTTAATTATCGCCCTATTTCATTAACGAGTGTGCCCTGTAAGCTCATGGGACACGTCATGTACACAGAAATTATGGAATTTCTTGACTCGAACAAATACTTTCATTCTTCACAGCATGGGCTCCGCAAAGGCTTTTCCTGCGAAACACAAGTGGCCATTTTCCTGCATGATATTCATACCAACTTAGATTCTAACCTCCAGACAGACGCGATATTTCTAGATTTCGCAAAAGCATTCGACAAGGTACCACACCAACGTATATTACTAAAACTTTCTCTTGCGAGGATTAACAGCGACATTTTGCGATGGATTGAAGCGTTCTCGACAAACCGATCTCAGTTCGTTACATTTAACAACCGTGCATCTAGCCCCCTACCAGTGACCTCCAGCGTACCGCAAGGATCTGTTCTCGGACCTTTACTTTTCCTAATATACATCAATGACCTGCCTCTGCACGTGTCTTGCAACGTTCGTTTGTTCGAAGACGACTGCGTCATTTATCGAACAATTACTAACAAATCGAATCAAGGCTTACTTCAGCAGGACATCAATCGTCTACAGCAATGGTGGGACTGTTGGTTAATGGAACTTATTCCCAAGAAATGCAAACTGATTGTATTTGCTCGTCGGCACGATTCATTTCCTTACACATACACAATCAGGAACTTCCCATGTGTTCTGCGCAGTCTTACAAGTACCCAGGTGTTACTATATCGAACGACTTGTCCTGGCGCACACACATCACTAACCTCATTTCTTCTGCTAAAAAATCACTTGGTTTCCTCAAGCGTTATCTGAAATGCGCCCCCAAACCAGTTAAACTACTGGCCTACCAGTCAATAGTCCATCCGAAACAGGAATATGCATCTGCCATATGTAATCCTGACCAAAAATATCTCATCAACGCACTCAAAGCCATTCGAATTCGTGCCGCAAGGTTTATTCATTCTAATTATTCATATGACACGAGCATATCTTACTTAACTGAAGAATTGAATTTGCTTCTCTTTGGTACACGCCGGCGCACTGCATGCCTCTCACTTTTCCACAAGTTTTATCACACCTCGCTTCATCAGCCACCCTATATCCTACCCGCAGCCCGAGCATCTCATCGTACACGGCACACTTTCCAAGTGGGCCGCCCTCGCATGCGCACTTTAACCTTTTCCGCCTCATTCTTTTGCCATGCCGCTACAGATTGGAACAACCTTCCCCACGAGATCACCACCATCACTTGCCCATGTTCGTTTGCGGAGCGTATCACTGCGCACTTTTTGCAATAAAAAGTGAAATTATAGTTTTACTGTACTAGTGCTGACGTATTATTTATTGTACTTGTGCTGACGTACGTAACACCTTGGCCTTGTATGTTTGTGTATTTTTCTCGTGTTCAGTTACGTGATATGCAAATTATGTACTTTAGCGCATGTGTTTTTCTTTTTTTGTGTGTTTAGAGTTATGCATTAAGCAAATTATGTACTAATGTATTCCCATCGCTTATGTAATACCCCTATTAAGGGGTCTTTAAGGTAATCAATTGAAATGAATCGATTATTTATTTCTAAATGTTTTAATAAATTGCCTATGTAGGACACACTTCAACGTTTCTCTTCAGTTTTGAACTAGTTATCCGTAGTCAATCATGATGCATTGTAACGTCGCTGGTGTGCATAACGTTCTTGAACACTGTTCTTTACTTAACTTCTCTGTGTGTTTTTTTTCTGAAATATGCAATAGTGCTAGTAGGTTGGTGAAAACTATAGAACAGCATATATAGGAGTCCAGGAAAATTTCTTTAGTTATATTGTGACAAAGAATGCAATCGATACGGTGTGTTGCTCCGCGTCGTGACGTACAGGGGTGCGCCCACTTGTCTAGAAGGCTCGATCTGCTAGCTATTGCACATTCCAGCTCGCTTCAGCGCCGTGCATACAGGTGGCAAGAAGTTCAAGATAGTGCACACCTGAAGACCAATTTTAATGGTCAATACTAATATATTTGGACCTAATAAAATCAAGTGTTATTGCCAAACGGCGTTAGTACAGTCCTGAGCTCCCCATTTCATAGCTGTCTCATAGGCGAGTGCGCTGATCTGGGTACTACGCTTCGCATCATGCAGGTAACGCCCCAGTGATAACTGATTGCGTAAGCATGGACAGACACTACTCACTGCAATTTTAGTTCGAATATATTTTTAAATTTTATTTTCCGAATTCCCATCATAAAAGCAACAGGAAAGATTACTTTCTACAAACACACCTGCTATGATGAATTTTTTTTACCACACTCATCTGCCTTGTGAGAAGAGAGCGTGGACTAAAAAAAAAAAGCTGAACATCTGGGCTGTGCGTCCTTGAAAAAAAATTCTCAGGTAGTCTTACAATATTGAGCGCATTCTATCATGTGGTCGAAACGATTCAAAAGTTGTATATGAGTTTATTCTAAGGGCAGTTCTCTCTTCAACTTGAAGCATTATGTTCAACTCAAATATTTCGATTTCTTCTCTGCCTCGTAAAAACTAAGGCATCACACTCACCTTTCCCACAGCACGAAGGTGTCATCTTGCAGAGTGGGTATTGTATGCATAGGGTTCAGCTGTTAGAAAAAAATCAGAAAAGTTGTATGCCGGTAACATTAAACAAGAATTAGGAAGAAGAATACAACTTGCGACTACAATAAACGCAAACAGGGGTTGTGTGCTCGCACCAACGTTGTAACAATTGTGCTTGTCTTCTTCGAAGCTTGAAGTCCAAGCGTTGAAGAGAACAAGTACAATTGTCAAAATGGCGGCTTGGGCACACAACCGCTGTTTGTGTACATTTTCCAAACATGGAGAAGAAAATATCTTGCCAACGAAACTCCGACCATTTGAAATAAATACCATCTGAGGATCTCAAACCATGCTATCACTCCGAAATTACTCATTTTTGCATTTAATTGCTTTTTATGCATTTGAGCTTAACTCACAAATAACACGAAGCTGCCTAAAAATAACGTGTCGGGCCACGGACGATAGTTTATGCCATTTAGATTTTATGACAACCCTGACCCTTTAAAATGACGCATCTACGTATAGACAAAGAAAGGAGACAATTGTTGTCAGCGTTCGCACTGTCAGGCATCACGAATTAACACAAAGTAGACTCGATCACTCTCATTAATACAGTGAGGTCTATTTGTAAAAGATAGAATCTTGCTGTAGCCAACGTTTCCACGAGTAGACTTCTCTTTGTCAAGGCAGTAAATAACTTCATTATCTTCATCATCATTACCCTGACTACGTTCCCTGCAGAGTAAAGACCCTTACCATAATCCGCCAATCAACCTGTTGTGCTTTCTGCTGTCACGTCCTACCTGAAAACTTTTAATCTCATCGTCCCATCTAACTGTCTCTCCTTTGTAGATTTACCTTCACTGGTATTCCTGTCAGATAACCGCAATGACCAGTGGTTATCCATCCTACGTGTTACGTGTCTGGCCCATGTCTATTTCTTCGTCTTGTATTCAACTATACTATCCTATACGCATAATGTAACATATTGTATACAATTAATAATGTATAATGTATTTGTATAATGTAAAAAAATACTGCGAGTGGCAGATTGCCGTACAGGCATCATCAAATTCAATTCTTTCATCGAATCATGTAAACCTCCACAAAGCCAGCGAACTACAGATACTCTAGTAGCTGACTTAATAAAGACGAGTTTATTTATTTAAATGTCGGCTCCAGCAACTTATCCAGTAAAGCAGCGAGTATAAGCACCACTCTGTATATGAAGGGCTAAGAAAAAGTGCACAAAATATGCACACTCATTTTCAGCCGAGAATTTGAATAAAAATGTAAGCATATCTCCTTCAAGCCTCCATCTTTCCTGCAACCTCGTTATTTTTTAGAATACCAGGGTTCTTCTCTATATCAGCTTTCTCATGTTGATATACAAGTTGTCATCTTAGTTGTTATTGGTAACTATAGTTATCACATTCAATTCACGTACTGATTATTACAAAGAATCTTTCGGTTTCCAAAGCAAGATCCACACAGATACAATTAAAAAACTATTATGACTAGCAGAAAATGAGAGACGCTCACTTGTATTACAATTTTGCCACTCACGGGAATGCAGCAGACCTATGATTGCTGTAGTTAATAATTAAACGCCATCACTAATCATACAGCGATTCGAAAACAGAGCAGCCAACTTACCTTGAGAAAATCTTCTTTCATGTGTTCTTTGGCTGTAACATTGACGTCTTTCAGCTCAAGGACAATCCCAATCAACCTTGCGACAATGCGAACCGCCCTGCGTGGTCGTAAAACGCATTTTAAAAGATATCTCCGCTGTACATACGGTCATAATAAACGGTTCGTTTTTGCCAAAAAACCTTGACTTTTATGCGATACGTAATAGTCTTTCACATAAAAGATCAATAAAGATGTCTGCTGCGATGACATAATTGTTTAGGAGCTCGGATGCCGACGAAGAGGCCGTGGGTTTGATCCCTGACATGGCCGTCACATTTCGATGGAGGCGAAATCGCAGTCTCGTGTACTGTACGATGATAGTGTACGTTAAAGCAAACCAAGTGATAGAAATTTCTGGAGCCCTTCACAACGGCCTTCCCTATAACAATATTATGATTGGGGCGGCAAAAGTCGCATATTATCGCTCACGAAAAGCAATACTGAAATGAACGTCACTGTGATCGCAGAAAAAGGAAACACTGCATAGTAGGTACATCAAGCACGTGGCCAACCACTTCACACGGAATAAATGTTTGTGATTTTTGTCCTTTGTCAAGCAGTGTTTGCTATAATTTTTTACCTATCGCAATTACTAGTGCTTTGTTCGAATAAGCAGACAGATGCGTTAGAACATCCGTTGTTGAAATGTCACTGTTGCACTAACTGTTGAAACACCACCCTGGAACAAAAAGTCGGACACTTGTGAAGTGGTGGTCAGATCTAAGCCATCTTAGAAATCAGTATGGATATGTCTTTTTTTAACCCGATGTGACATTCCTTTCAGAAATGAGACATATATGGGCTATGGAAAAGGCGTACTTTCAAATGGCAGCGTTAGATTCAGATTTGCTCTGCCTACCCCGCCCGCTTCCCCTTGCAATACTATCTTGACAGTCGTTATTGCAGCCCACTACGGCCCACCAGCCGAAGTCACTTTTTAAGTTCGAGGCTGATCATTGTCAAATTTCATCACACGGCACGTCGTTCCTAATAATCATGAGCCATAAACCCCTTGCAGCGACATGACACTGAAGTTCTTCTTTACACGCTCAACCACGCGCAAATATGAGAAGTGCTTTGCCTGTACTACAGGTACATTCATGTGCCAATAAAGGGGTGTGAAGTTTAAACGCAGCACAATGTCATACAGAAAGCTTCTTTTTTGATGAAAAAATATTTAAAATGATACAAACTATTTTATATAGATGACAAATAACACATTATTAATGTGATTCGGAACTTCGGTTTTCCCACATTACGGGCATTATGGGCCAACTATCCTCCACTTTTTGAGTCCACCCTTCACTGATTCGGCATCGTGAATTATTCTTGTTTCTCCTGCTCAAACGCATGCACATGACAGGGAAAGGTAAATTTCAATGCACATCACAAAAATACTTCAGAAAATGCATGTACAGCTTATTTGCATACACTGATATTCATGGGCTATTTTCAATTCAGCACGCGATGTTTAGAAGTTTAATATTATTTATAGTAGACACTCATGGGGTTAATTAAGAGCACTGACGTGGCATAATACTTCAAACAGACATTTATTCATACGTAGCCAACGTGGTGGTTACTTTCCAACAACACACGCTTCTAACAACTTAAGAAACGTACGCAAGCGGTGTACGTTGATACCTAATGTCCATACAAAATTTCTGAGATGACTCGAAGTCAAAAGCACAATTTCTTTTATTCTCAGCTGGTTTTACTGACTTCCTCCTTCACGCCTGCTTGAAGCTTTCCATGACGCATATGGAAACCCTGAATTCACTGTCTATGAGCAGCTGCTACAAACGGCTCACCCTGACAAGCTAATGGCACGCGTCACTTGCACCGAAGACTGGCCTGGGGAAACACAAGCGGTGGCTACTGCATGCTGCGTCTGCGGCCCGCCAGCACCTGGCCTACTGTAGGCATGTACACCTCGGGTCACTCTGAATATCCCCTGCTTTCCACAGATGTGGTGCCGCAAAACAGCGGAGCACATGCCTTGCTCCTACCCTGCGATGGCGGGCGAGCGATACGAGATTATGCGCTGATACCACTCATTCTGTCTCTATGCGACAACTGTAGAGAATTTTCCCTTTCCCACATGGTACAGGATACCAGCCCTGGGAGCCTTTCTCGAGTTCTAGAGTGCTGTGGACATCGACGCCCTATAGACAAAGGCCTTGGACTTCATTCTCACTGCCTGGATGACAAAATGCTTTTTTGTCATCCACTCGCCCCTCATGGAGCTCTTCTTTCTTCCATTCTGTCAACTCAGCTTCTTCTTCACGATCCTTAAAGGGGCTGAGCCGAGCCCTCTCGATAATAGCCAGAAAATATCAATGCCTTATCCTGATTTTTCTTTCATCACTCTCCTTGTCTCTGATATCAGCGCACCTTTCACCAAACGAATATATCATGCAATGACAGCAATATGTGACATCATCTTCTACAATGTAATGATGACTTACAAAATTCTGCTCATTGGTGACATACTATATGATCATTTGAATTACGTAGTAACCGCCCGCCACGTCAGTGTAGTGTTTACGGTGGTTGATTGCTCCATGGAAGGTCACGCGATTGAGTGCGGACCCGTGGCGGCCGCGTTTCATTCAAGACAAGATGCTTAAGGCCCGTGAGTTTGGATTTAGGTGCACGTTAATAAAATACCGAGGAGTCGGCATTCCCGCAGCTCTTTCTTACAGCTTATTTCATAATTATAACGTAGTTTAGTGGCGTAAAAACTTAACAGCTGTATATTTTTATTAGTTCAACAGTTCTCCTAACGCCCAATCCACCGAAGATCATGTCTAAGGATACCAGCTAGTATGAAAGTGTAAAGTTAGGTGGGTTTCTGGAACGCATATATCACATTCTCGATTTAATCACTAAGGTATCATAGAAGTATTTTATGTATATAGCACCACTAACAAAATGCGGGAGCGTTTGCTTTCATTTCGGCAGGTACATCACTTTGATTCTCAGTCCTTGTCCTTTTTATTCTCAGTCCAAGCGGCCTTTTTTGGTTTTTTATCAGCAAATAGGGACCAGTAGTTTGTGATGCTTACCTCCAAATCTTGTCGCATATAAGTTCTGTGTAGAACTCTTCACTCACTGTAAGTTACCACAACATTGACAAAATAGCGCGCATCGATGGCTAATGTAGTAGGCAGGAAACGGTGGTGCATTGTGTACGTTAGCGAAAATTCCGTGGCACGCACTCGGCAGAACGCAGTTTTGAGATGCTTTCAGAGGCATCCTTGCTCTGGCCGACAGGCGCGTAGGACCATCAGCACGGTTGCCAGGTGGGGCTACTTTTGGCCACTTTGGCTACTTTTTCGGGACAGTGGCAGCCGAACAAACACAATTGGCTATAATAGGTGAACATTGGCTATAGCTTCATAAATCATGGATGCATTCGTGTTTACTCTATATGAACTCAGTTGTCATGTAATATGTACTGGTGTTCGACTCTGCAGTGTCAAAACATGGCGGTCAAATGACGTCACCAGCTGTCACATTTTGATTGGGTGGTTTTGGTATACGCTGAAAAAAGAATACGTGGCTGAACTTCAATTTGCATAACACCTATTCACTTTTCAGTCAACGTCCACGACTGAGACAATCGAGAGCTTTTTGCATCCAAGACGTTATGCCATTACTGACCTTAGAAAACGGATGTCTGACCAAGCGGCTACGTTCTTGCAAAGTACGGACTCCCACATAGGAATAATGACGGCGTGAACTTTTTCACGGCACGAGAAAGGTAGGTGAAATGACCAGTCTTTGCTTCAGTCCATGAAACTGCAATTTTGGGCACACCCATACAATAATAAGTTCTATAGCCCCCACAAGGCTCGTATTTCTAGTTTTTGATGAAAATACAGGTATACAAATTACGCAAAGATGGTGTCATATTTCTAAGATTGCAAGAAACTTCATTATATTCCACTAAACGCGTCCTAAGATGAAGTGAAAAACTGGCGTCCGTGCACATGGCAACTGCTGCCTTAACCAAGGGCGTTTTTTGCACTGCGGAACATCGGTGAAGCATGGCGGACGCTAACCGCGGTACAGCCTGACCAACCATGTTTTGTCGAAACTGCGGTTAATTTGCCCATTTACCTACGGTGCAAGCGTGCTGTATTTGAACTGGTATTCGTACTTATTTCAACAAAGTGCACGACTACACGAGCTCAAGAGAAGAAGGAGGAGTGCTGTGCTTCGTTTTTTCTTCTCTTGTGTCCGTGTAGTAGTCCGGTATGTTCAAATATGTTCGAGTACTGTCACAAATTGGCCTAACTTTCCGTTCTTCTGCATTCTGCCAATGGTATACTGCAATCAAATTCTTCATTGTATACCAGGCTATACCTGAAGCAATAACGCTTCGTAAACCCGCTTTGTTTTTATAAATTTTTATGCATATATTCGTATACTGACTGTATTTCGCCGTACCCGAATATTGCCAAATTTATTGTAAACCATCGGAGCAAAGGGCCTTTTCGGCATCCTACCTCCCTTTAGTTCTCCAGCGCTTTCCCAGAGAATAAGTATTTAGCTAATTTACCTATTTAAAACCTTCCTAGTGCCACCTTTCTATTTGCCAAGCAAGAACAAACCACAAGCAGCCACTGTCACTTCCGCGGAGGCAGTGGTTCGAAGACGTACCTGCATGGGGGACTTGCGTTCAGTTGGTACAGCACGATGGACATTTTCAATCAGCGAGCACAGTCGCTTGACTCACGCGAGGGCTGCCACACTGCCACACTGGTGGTGGCGCAAAACTGTTGTGTCTTCAACGTGCACTTTCCTTTCAGTTGCGGTGAGGCAACGTGTCCCATGGCCAAGGAGAACACGGAGCACGGAACAGGAAGTTGCATTCACCGCCTTGTGTCGGCATCCGGGCATGTCGCTGATAGCGAGAGACGTCATGCGGACGATGTTTTTCTTTCATCACCAGAAATCTCTTTTGAAGGCAAGCGCGACTCGTGGGAGCATCGAAAGCGCATTTGAAACATTGAGGGCGCTCCACCATTGCGGAATATTGGCATTCAAGTCGGTTTACAATGTCACAATTCTGAAGCACACAGGCTTGTAAAACGAACCTATTTATTTGGGCGAACTTATGCTCGCAAGTTAAGTTAAGTGTGAGAAAACTGCGAGTCAACCTAAAAACAAAGAATTTCCAGGGCACTTCTTTATTTTCTTCACCAGAAGTCTGAGCACCTGACGCATGCGGCCTGGCTGTGGCCAGGTGCTCGTGCAATCACGGTCTCTGTGCGGCATAGTGAAGGTGCTAAATTTGAACGCGGCCATTATATCGCGGCGTCGCCCCCCTCCTCGAACACATCGTCCCGATGCACCAGACACTGAAAGGATGCTTGAAACCGGCGTTCGTCTTGCGATCATCTTTTATAGTAGGGCTTCATGTGGACAACGTGCACCACCTCGGGGACGTTGCGGAGTCTTGGGCTCATATGTCTAGTGGATTTAACTTCATAGGTGACATCGCTTATATGATGCAGTACCTCGTAAGTACCAAAGTATTGGCAAAAAAGCTCTTTATAGAGTCTACAGTGGCGCACAGGGATCGATATCCATACTTTGTCTCCGGGCTGATAATGCGATTCACTACGGCGCTGGTTGTACCAGCTATAATCGATGCGCAGTTGGCGGCGTATTCGGTATCTTTCCTTCTGTCAGGCTTCCTCGGCTCTTTGTTAGAAATCTTCTAGGTAAGTGAAATGACGCTTTCTCCAATTAGGGGAACATGGAGTCCAGTGGTGTGGTTGCTGTTCAACCGAATACAAGGTCAAATGGCACCACTCATGTTGTTTTTTTGACAGTGGTTCTATATGCAAATGTGCTGTAATACAATATTTCAACCCAGAATGCTCGACATCGAGAAACACTGAAAGCATGTGAGTTAGAGTGCTGTTGAGGCATTCCGTTGAGCTATTTGTTTGAGAGTGGTACGCCGTAGTTTTTCTATGATTGGTGTGTGTCGATTTCATCAGATATTGCATTAAGTCTGAAGTAAAGGCTTTTTCCGCGATCTGTTATAACAACAATGGGCGCACCCTGTCTGAGCACTATGTTGTTGACGAAGAACTTCTCAACTTTGAGAGCTGTCATACTGTACATGGAGTCAGGCTCAGCGTAAGGGGTAAGATAATCTGTCGCGACAAATATCTATTTCTTTCCTGTATGTGAGAATGAGAATGGTCCTAGGAGTTCCATCCTAACTTGTTGGAATGGGGCATTCGGCGGGTCTATTGGCTGGAGTAGACCTGCTGGTTTTACGGATGGAGTTTTTCGTCTTTGACACGCTCAGCGAGTTTTTACATAGTGCTGCACTAAAGCTAGTAACTTAGGCCAGTAATACATCATCCTAATGCTAGCGAACATATGGCTCACACCCATATGCCCAAATGTTGGTTCATCGTCACATGCGTGCAAAATTTCTCCTCGCATAGATGAAGGTACAACTAGTAAAAACTTTTTGCCACTAAGATCGAATATCCTCTTCTAAAGGACATTTCCTCGAAGGCCAAACGAAGGGAGTCCTCAGGAAAAAAATTCGCGAGATTTGAACACCGAGTCCTTGCAGCCACTGTATAAGCTGCAGCAAATCCGAGGGATCTCGTTGTTGTTGAGTAATTTCCGATGCATTGACAATGCCTAAGAACACCAAGTTTTCGTCCTCTGACCAACTTGCAATGGCAGGTGAGCATGACAGGCAGTCGTTATTGGTGTGTTTTCTGCCGAATTTATCAACCACTGTAATACTCTTGCAGCCTAAGGCTCCATCTTTGGTGTCGGCCTGACGGATCCTTTAGGTGTGCCAGCCAGCAGAGGAAAAGGTGATCGATGACTGATTTGAATGGTCTGCCATATAGGTAGGGTCAAAATTTACTTATTGCCCAGTGTCACAAGTCCCGTTAATTAGGGAGGCGGTCGCCGGGCTAATACTAAGGGTCGAAGTATCAGCCCACCCGAACTGCACCACAAAAGCGCGGACAAATTAGAAGTGGTCTTATTTGGCGTGTCAGTGGACGCCAGCTGTGGCCCAAAGAAGAAGTCGGAGCCGATAGTTCATAAACAAAACAAACCTGTATTCTCGAATACGGCAGATCAAACGATACACAAATATGCACACTCGACAATAGTTGGATACGATATGTCACCAATCAAACAACGTACTACACAGTACAATCAGCCACACTCGCAACAACGGACACAAACAACAATATGCGCTACAATGCAATCAGATGCATTGAACAACCAAGACACTTAAAGACTAAAGAGTTGGAAAACTTATTCAGAACAAAGTCATTGGAAGAAAGTCTGAATGATACTCTTCCAAGAATCACTCACTCAAAGTCCAGCGCTGTTGCTGTTCATGCTGCCTCCGAAGTTTCTCTTCTTGCTGCCCGTGAAGTTTGTCTTCCAGGAAACCTCGCGCCTTCAATTGGCCGCTCACCAAGCACCAAACTTTTTCGCCGGTAATACGTCCGCTTCCCACACGCGGCTGCTGCAACGCGTCTTCGCTCGCTGGCGGTAGACACACTCATATGATTGTAGCACGAGTCTTCACACCTCAGGGTGAAATCCTCTTCATTACCTACTTTTCACTGAGGACTGAAGCCTTCGCCGACAAGGTGGAATACCCTACGCACCCTGGCGCAATTTTTCTTCTTCTCCTGCTTTACCTTCTCTGCTGCTCTCGCTACTCTCGCTTAAATACTTTTTCGTGCTAGATTCTAGAAAATTCTAATAATTTCTTCGGCGCGATGCACAGCCAAAGCTGGGGAAAAAGCGAAACGTTTCGAGGGACGTCCGTGACCTATGACGCAACTGGACATCACCACGCTCCCTTCCTTCCAGATCTTTTCAGGGCTTGCTCGGCAGCCGATGTGAGGAGGTTGGCCGGCAAAACTACGCTTCTGAGGGGGAGAGGGACGGTGTGCCCGGGGAGTGTTTGGATGCTTGTTTTCTTCTTCAGCATTGACCTTGAGGCTTCTCTCTGGTGCTTTGTCGCCAGAATTTGCCGGCGCGCTCTTTTTTTTAATGCTCTTTTATGACATCCAGATGACGGCGAGACACTTTTTCTGTTGCAGAGTAATTTGCCTCAGCTTTCGAAAGTTTGCGGCTTACACTTTTTCTTGGCCGTTGTGCCACTGAACTTGGGTGGCGCCGAGGCCGACATTACTCGCATCGGTATGAACTTCGGTGTCAGCTGTCTTATCAAAATGGGCGAGAATTGGAGAAGCTTGCAGACGTTTTCTTCTCTTGTCGAAGGGTTTCTGTTGTTCGTTTTCCCACATAAAGGGCACGTCGTCTCTTGTTAGATATGCTCGATATTCGGCAATATTCGAAAAGTTTTCTACAAATCTCGTATAGTACGCACATAAACACAAAAAGCGGTGTAGTGACTTTTTATCTGTAGGCACCAGGAAATGTGATACAGTCACTGTTTTTCTGGGGATCTGCATTGGAGAACGCTGTCAGAACAAGTGACATGCCCTAGAAATTGCAGCCCTTCAAAGCCGAAGGGACATTTTTCCGGTTTGTTTGTCAAGTCTGCTCAGTGGATGCCTTCCAGTATCATGCACCGTCACTTTATATTTTGGTAATTGTTGCGGAAAATATGACGATATCATCCAAGTACATTAAGCATGATTGCTACTTTAATCCTGGGCTGCATTTCCGATGGAGGCGGAAATGTTGTAGGCCCGTGTGCTCAGATTTGGGTGCACGTTAAAGAACCCCAGGTGGTCTAAATTTCCGGAGCCCTCCACTACGGCGTCTCTTATAATCATAGAGTGGTTTTGGGACGTTAAACCCCACATATCAATCAATCAATACTTTAATCCTGCAAGAACAGCGTCTATCATTCTATGAAACGTCGCTGACGTGGTACCCAGGCCGAATGGATGCGCTTTAAATTCGTAGAGGCTGTCTGAGGTTACGAATGCCGTCTTTTCACGGCCCAGCTCATCTACTTGTATTTGCCATTATCCGCTCTTAAGATCTAGAGAAGAGAAAAATTTTGTGCCCCACAGGCGATCGAGTGTATCATCAATACGTGGCAGAAGGTACACATCCCGTTCAGTGATGCCGTCAAGTTTGTGATAGTTGACGCAGAATTGAAGCGTATTTTCTTTCTTCTTGATAAGCACTACGGGAGATGAACATGGGCTGTTTAAAGGTTGGACGACGTCATCGCATAGCATCTCGTCTACTTGCTCTTTTATGATTTCTCTGCCGTTTTGTGACGCTCGATATGGGTGCCGGCATATTGGTCTCACTCTTCTGTTATGACCCCGTGATTGGCAATTGATGTAATCGTGATTGGCAATCGATGATTGGCAATCGCGCCTTCGATGAAGTGGAGAAGCAGCCAGCGAACAGTTTTATGAGTGCGTTTATGTTTCTTTTGACTTTCTGGGAGGTTATTTTATCAATCACTGACGCACCGACGTTGCAACCTATTGCAAAAATCTGCGCCACTGGGTGCCAGCGTCCAGCGCCACGCCTGATTATAGGCCCAGTTTCACGCTGGTACCAGCGCTAGAAGGCGCTCGGTACTCTGCGCAAAATTGCTTCACAGGACTGAAATGGTTTGTGCCATTTGACATAAATAATTAAACAAATATAGAAGTAAAAGAAGCAATATTGCGCACGTTCATATAAACAATAAAAAATGAAAACAAATATGCCTCACGACAGGATTGGAACTTCTCACCGTCAAATTATCATCCGAGTACTCTACACAATAAGCTACGCCAAGACAAGTTGCTTGAGTTGTTAAATAACTATTATTTCTAAAAACACGCCGT